ACACAAAGACAGGTGGGAATGCAAGCTGTGAGAATAACACAAAGACAGGTGGGAATGCAAGCTGTGAGAATAACACAAAGACAGGTGGGAATGCAAGCTTTGAGGATGACACAAAGACAGGTGGGAATGCAAGCTGTGAGAATGACACAAAGACAGGTGGGAATGCCAGCTGTGAGAATGACACAAAGAATCTGAAGAGGGACATGGACAGGTTAAGTGAGTGGGAAAAAGCCAGGCAGAGGGAACATGATATTGAGACAACAAGGTGCAGAGCTGGATGAACACAGCAGGCCAAGCAGCATCCTAGGAAATTGTGAGTTTACGCACTGGTGAGGTTATCATGCAACTTCTGTATGTAAAAGGAAGGCCAATGGAATATTCACTTTTATGTCAAGGGGAATGGAATTTAAAACTGGGATGTCTTGCTAATACTATAGAAGGCACTAATTAGATGACAGCTGGAATATGATAGAATCCCTACAGTGTGGAAGCAGGCCATTTGGCCTATTGAGTGTACACCGACACTCCACAGAACATCCCATCCAGACACACCCCAACCGTATCCTATAACCCTGCATTGCTCACGGCTAAGCCACTAGCCTGCACATCCCTGGACACAATGGGTAATTTAGCATGGCTAATCCATCTACCATGCACATCTTTGGACTGTGGGAGGAAACCGGAGCACCCGAAGGAGAGAACATGCAAACTCCACACAGACAGTTGCCTGAGGGTGGAATCAAACTCGGGTCCCTGGCTCTGTGAGGCAGCAGTGCTAACCACTGAACCACTGTGCCACCCCTTTATTTTACCATAGCTAACCCACCTAACCTGTACATAATTGGGTTATTTAGCATGGGCAATCTAGCCAACCTGTACATCTTTGGACTGTGAGTGAAAGTTAGTGCACCAAGAAGAAGCCCATTCAGACACAGGGAGAACATACAAACTCCAGACAATCTCTCAAAGCTGGAATCGAACTCAGATCCCTGTGCTGTGAGGCTGTGGTGCTAAACACTGCATCACCATGCCACTTCCATAAAATCATAGAATCCCCTACAGTGTGGAAGCAGATCCTTTGGCCCATCAAGTCCACACCGACCCTCTGAAGAGCATCCCACCCAGATCCACCCCCTATGCTATCGCTGCATTTCCCATAGCCAATCCACCCAGAATGCACATTTTTGGACTGAGAGAGGAAACTGGAGCATCCAGAGGGTTACCTCAAGTGGCCATTAATTCCAGATTTTTATTGAATTCAAATTCCACCATCTGCCGTGGCAGGATTCAAGCCCAGTTCCCTGGAACATTACCTGGGTCTCTGGATTAACAATTGAGTGATAATACCATTAGGTCATCACGTCCCCTATACTGTGAACAAATTTGGGCCTTATCAAAGGAAAGATATACTGGCATTGGAGGCAGTCCAGTGAAGGTTCGCTAAGCTGATCCTAGGAATAGATGAACTTTCTTAAGAGTGGAGGTTGGGTGCATTGGACCTTTACTCATCGGAATTTAGAAGAATGAGAGTTATTGAAACATACAAGATTCCTCTGGGTTTTTTTTTGTTCATGGGATGAGGGCATTGCTGGCTAGGCAGCATTTATTGCCCATCCCTAATTGTTCAGAGGGCAGTTATGAGTCAATGACATTGCTGTGGGTCTGGAGTCACATGCAATTTCCTTCCCTAAAAGACATTTGTGAACCAGATAGTTTTTCTCCCCAATAATTGAAAATGAATTTGTGGTCATCATTAGACTCTTAATTTCAAATTTTTCATTTCATTGAATTCAAATTCTACCATGGCAGGATTTGAACACAGGACCCTAGGACATGATCTGGGTCACTGGATTAACAGTTCAGTGATTATACCACTAGGCCATCACCTCCCCCCCATTTCACAGGGTTTGACAGAGTAGATGTTGAGAGGTTGCTTCACTTTGAAGGAGACTCCAAGACCAGAGTGAATTGCTTCTTTCTGCGGTTAGTGAATCTGCGGAATTGTCTACCACAGAGGGCTGTTGACTCTATGTTGTTAAGTACATTCTGAGAGATTTTTAATCAACAAGTAAATCAAGGGTTAAGGAGAAAAATCAGGAAAGTATCAGATCAGCCATGATCTCATTGAATGGTGGAGCAGACTCGATGGGCTGAATAGCCTCCTTCTTCAAATAGGCACCTTCACTCAACCAAATTAGGCCCACGCAGGCATTATATATTATTCCTTTCTAACTATTTACTTACAATTTGTTTCCAAGAAACACAAATGCAGAATTGGAGTCGGCCTGTGAAAGCCCTTAGGTTCTTTCCCTCTTAGAGGGAAATGATTGGCTGCCATCAAGAAAATGGCCGCGCCGAGAAAGAATCTTGTGAGTTACTGGTGAACTGTATCAATTGCCTAAAAATGAGTAAGTTAGTCATTGGGCCATGGATATAGGGTTAGGTGGATAAAAGAACAGAAAGCATTGAATCCAGCTTGAACATCAGAGTTCATAGCTGTGCTATACACAAAGAAACCAATGGTTGCTACGACAACAGACTGCTTTTCGGAGTAATGCAAAGGCTGTTCAGCACTTTCAGGACAAGTAAGACCTTGTAAGGAGACAAGTTCTGTCTTTCCTTCCAATAATGACTGCTGAAGTGTAAAGTCTATGTTTTCTTATGAACCTATTTCAGGCAATATTATCTTTCATTGACACCACAGAGGAATAGTTTCTTCCTAATTCAGTGCAAAGAGATTGTCAATGACACAACATCCCATTGGATTTGCTCTGCGTTTCCTCCAAAGTGAATTTCTGCTAAAAGGGGGCAGAACTTTGTCGCTGCAACATTCAAGTTGTAAATAGAATCCTAATTTTTTTTTCTCATTTACATGGAACAATGACAAGTATTCTGTCTATCTGTGACAACAGTTGTACCAGTTCTTTTCCTATTGATGATACCATCACCTCCTTCTATGTCTAAGAGGCTTGGATCCTCTTTGAAAAATTCATCTGAAGTGGATGTTCAAAGCATGAACAATGTAGAGCCATGACGAGACTCTGCTCCGCTTCGCACTATGCGGAAGCCAAATCATGAAGGAATAAAGCGCACCATTAAACACATAATCTTTACAACTTGGTCAAATTAATTTTTAATGTGTAGTGCAAACAGCATACATTAGGGAGGATTGAGAGGTACAATTTCCATCCCACTTAATATCAACCAAATCCCATGGATCACTCTAGCCTGGATAATGCAACCCCTGTTTAGAAATGCTGAAAATTTGGGATGCTCATATCTTAAAAGCTTCCAGACATTTTTTTTTTATACAACTATAAATGATTGTGTCTGATGTGACTGAAGTTTAGTTGAATCAACTTGTCCTTTCTGGTTGCAGCCATATTGCTCTTTGAATCTACACTTGAATGTGGCACAGAATCCCTATACATCGGGAAATATAGGCAGTAAGGACTCTGCACCTGGTATCATTGTGGCCTCAGGTATTGAATCTATTTGAAGGTCGATACAATTTTCTCCAATCTTTTCAGAGTGTTTTATTGCATGCTTTTTAATGTGCAGTTGCATACTCCCCTCTGGCTGATAGGACATGAAGCATAACAAATGAAATTAGCGTCAGAAAACACAACACTTTTATACCTCATGGAAGTACCTGCATTCCCAGTGCAATATAGACTATGACAAGGGCAATGACTTCTCTGCTCAAACAAAATTGTTTCCTCCTCCTTTCCACAGCGATGCTATTTGGGAACAATTCTTTGAGGCTTTGGCAGCCATTGTACCTCACTCAATGAGTAATCCATCAATTGGACAGCGAGAAATGACAGATTTAATGGATTTTGAGTCTACCTTCACCCATTGCAATAACTATAGTGAACTTGTTAAGCAGAATTCACTAGATTGCGCTCAGGACCAGGAATACCAGCTGTTCTTCTTTCATTTCCCTAGCCTCCAGGTGCTTAGGTCCCTCCTGCATCCTCGTTGGAAACTATCAACTTAGCTGAGGCCAGAAATAAAACTTACTTGACCTTGTATAATTTTAGAACATATCAATGTTGCATTAGAACGCTCAAGCAGTCTGCTTTCATTGAAGGCTCAACTGAACGTGTTGCAATACTCCTGGTTATCATTCCTGCAATCCCTGAGATGCTGGCTGGTGTTTTTGAAAGTTGTTTGCTCTGCACACTTTATTTTCCCCAATTGAAATATGAGCTGAGAAGGTTTATTGAGAGGCAAGTGACATATTCCACACTGCTTGAGGCAATCCACCAACAAGTTTCCCCTCCTTTGCTCTATTAATAATGTGCTGTGTTTTCATTTCACTCCTCACCTTAACTGGGCTGGAACTTGCTCAGTGCAGCACTATGCAAATGATCCTGCTTTTCAATAACCCTTTGTTTCACAGACTCTGGTATATTATTTCACAGGAAATTTAGATAAAATGCCTCTCCAACACTTTTTACAAGAAGCCCCAAATGCAAACGTTAGATCTAGTCATCATTTTAATCGTCAGCTGGATAGTAGTAAGAAGCCGTCTGGTTTCAGTTAGACTCCTGCCTGCGCAGTGTTATCCAGTGAAATCCCATGCATTCACTGGAATAGGCAAGGACCAGACCAAAACAGGCCACCTACCCTTGGAAAACTTGTGTGGCCTTTGGCTGTTCACTGACACTTGGGTATGTGTGACAGAAAGGACATCTCTCAATAGCTGAGAAGGTCATTCTGAAAAATCTGAAAAGGGCATGTTAACAAGTTCTGAGGAAGGGGTTACCAAACCTGAAATGTTAACTCTCATTTTTACTTCACAGATGCTACTAGACCTGCTGAGCTTTTCCATCAACTTTGTTTTTGTTCCTGACTTACAGCATCTGCAGTTCTTTTGGATTTTATTAAGTTGAAAAGTTCCTTGTTCAGGACTTCTTTGTCGGCGAAGGGGCCCTGTATTTCATTTTTAATTTTCAACCTAACTATCTTCAAAAGGGAATTAAAACAGAAATTTGGGGGAAATGTTCAACAGGCCTGGCAGCATCGGTGGAGAGAGAAATAGAATTAGCATTTCACATCAGTCTCCTATTATCAGAGCTAGTTTTGCAATTATAGTGAAATTTATAACAGTCACAACAAAAACACAACAGATGTATGACTGTGGTGGAGAGGGGAATGGACACCTTGGGAGATCCTGAGCGAGATGCAAGATGCTTTATAAATATAAATATTTCTTCCCTTCCTTTGTGCCTGTATTTTCTGGTCTTTGAAGCTCATTGAGTTGTAACTTTGGGTTGTTATTGGTAAGTGTGGCTGATATTTGGTGGCTTTGCTTGAATTTCAGGCAACATCGGCTCTGAGCTCATAACGGATGAGGAAAGTCACACTGGAGGCATGTTCATCTCATCAGATGCAGGAAATACCTGGAGACAGGTAACAGCGATGTGGAGACATTGTGGAGGAGCAGTTTCTACCCATTAATAGAACCTGACTCACTCAGCAAACCAAGGCAACAGCAAACTGTAGAACACAGACTGAAAATGTCCATTATCGTTTTCTGCTTTATGTCAGGATCGTTGGTCTCAGCTGCGACCTCACTATCTGCACAACAAACTGACCAAACCAAAATCAATTATATTACTTATGCATTAACCTGGTCTGGTGGTGTAAGAGATAGTAAGAACTGCCGATGCTGGAGTCAGAGATAACACAGTGTGGAGCTGGAGGAACACAGCAGGCCAGGCAGCATTTCTGAAGAAGGGTCCCAACTCAAAACATCAGCTTTCCTACTCCTTTGATGTCGCCTGGCCTGCTGTGTTCCTCCAGCTCCACACTGTGTTATCTCTGGTGGAGTAAGAGCCCATTTTGCCCAGGACCCTAAACATCCGTCCTATTCTTCACTGTATGGTGTCATAAGATCTTTTACATCGTGTAAATGATAGATATAGATTATTGTTTCATCCAGAAGCAAGCACATTTGGCAATCCAAGCTCCTTCAGTCCAGTCAATCAACTTTAACCACTCAATTTCTAAGTAAGCCTTGAAACCACAATCTTCTGATTCAGAAGCTGCATCTCTGAAATCTGTGACTTCTGAAATCTCTGGAACATTAGCTACCATTTATTTTTTATGACTGGTTGCATTTCACCATTAACCATCTCAACCCATGAAGTTGAGAGAAGGCCAGTTTTAAGCAACTGAAGACTGACGTGTTTTCTCTGCTGGTCAGCATTATGGTTAAACCTTGCCTCCACATACAGTCATTGCAACCAGAGAGAATTGGTTTGTCTGTGTCAATATTTTTGTCTATTTATTGTATCTATGTAAAAACAGTCCTTGCATTTCAGGAGAATTAATTGCATAAAATGCTTTGAGGCATTTCAACATGATGAGCAATTGTCTAATTGAAAGTAATTGTAGATCCATCAAAGCCACTTTTCAGCAAATATTCATCCAGTTGTTGACATTCCTTTCAATTAGCAATTTTTTCTCTGCTGGATTGAAAATTTTTCTTAAGAAACGAGTTATTAGGTGAATTTTGGAGAATGTAATTATGTTTTCACGTTCAGAAGAAGGAAGAAAGAGGGTTCCCCATCAAAATTATCAATGTTTCCGAATACCTTGTCTGTCTGCAGATGGACTAACGCATACTGTAGGACAAATGGCCTGTTACTGTGCTCTAACACATTATCATTCTGTATCAGGAAGAAGGCAGGCATCTTTGAGAGTCTTGGCCGACATAAATTAGGACCGTAATCTGGTTTATGAACTACAGTTGTCAAGCGGCCCATCAGTTTCTGCGAAGTCAGGAACCCCGTGAAATATATCACTGTTTAACAGACAGACATTGATGGATTTCAATGTTTATTCGGCATTTCGGTGTCTCGGTATAACAAATACAGCCCATGAAACACTGTGCAGCCCCAGCTATTACTACAGCGCTAATAAAGGCGGAGTTTGCCGGGACTGTTAAGTGAGAAGGAAACTGTTCATGCGAGCTAATAGGGCAGTTGCAATCTCGCTGAGCAGCATGGGTAACCTTACCTTCCATTTGAGAAAACAAACCGAGACACAAGCATCAGTTTGGATCATGTGTGATGAATCAAATACATCATGGAGTGAGAGATGGATTTGGAAACTGTTTGTGGAAGACTTCAGTGGATGGTCTCTTTATGCTTTATGTTTAATAAACTCCAACTTTGTTTTAAAACAAGAGGTGATTCATTTAGATGTCGAGTCAGAGAGTATGCCTCCCTCTATCAACAGAAAACTGGTTTCTTATCAGTCTTTCCATCTGAAGCTTATTATAAAAGTTCCCAGTTGACCATATTGAAGGGGTAAATACCAAAAGGAAGATGTAACTCAGATAAAATGATTGCGATTTCAACTGTACTTTGTGAGATGTCTTTTCTTTCACTCTGAACAAGTGATAATATCTATGTGGTATAACTTTTTTAAGGATGATGCTGATTGCTTTATGTTTCCTCTCAATCGCAGGTTTTTGACGAGGAGCACAGCGTCTTGTTTCTGGACCAGGGAGGTGCACTTGTAGCCATTAAACACACACCCCAGCCAATCCAACATCTGTGGTAATTGTCCCTTTCCTTATTACCCTGGTCATGGGTAAAGCTGCTAAAACTGCAGTAATGAGGAGGATATTCTCCTTCTGGGCAGCAATCTGGATTGCTGTTACCTGTTTCAAGACAGGAAACATGTACACTTATGCAATGATGGGCACATTTCAGATATAAGCTGAACCCTGAGGAATTAAAGGACCATTCTGGCCTAAAATTTTAAAAACAACATCAAAATTCGAACACCAGAGATGTCTTCACCTCCTTCGTTTGGAGGCAATGGCCACTAGACTGCTGCTAGACTGTCAATTCAGAGAAGCAATGTTCTGGGTTCAAATCCCACCGTAATGAATGAAGAAATTTGAATTGTATAAAATCTGGAATCAGGAGTCTAATGATGACCCTGAAACACTCATCTGGTTCACTAATGTCCTTTAGGGAATTTAACTGCCAACCTTATCTTGTCTGGCCTACATGTGTCTCCAGACCCACAGCAAAGTGATTGACTCTTAACTGGCCTCTGGTTAATTAGAGATGGGCAATAAATGCTGGCAGAGTCAGTGCTGCCCACATCTGGTGAATAATATATATAAAACTTGATGGGTTGGAATTCTTTTTGCTGTGGGATAGATGGCAGGCAGGAACTTTGGATTGGCTTAAAATCTTATCTGGAGCCAGCAAATTCTTGGAGAACTCAATCCCTTTTAACCAGGTTCTCCCGTTCTGAGCTCCCTTCTGGTTCTCACACACAGCAGGATTGTTGCAGATATTGACACACTCTCCTATCCCTACCATTTCTGCCACACTTTCTAGAGCCCCATTGTCAGTTCTCCCAGATCCTGGACTTCTCCCTCATTTTATCCAAAGCCCAGCTTTCCTTTTCCCAATATTCTCAAATCTAATGATATCCCTTTGCAACATTCCAAAATCACCTGACCTATTGTAACTGGTTGCATTGCTTCCAATTCAATGAACAAGAGTAGGCCACTTGGCCCTTTGAGCCTGCTCTCCCAAACAATAAGATCATGACTGATCTGACTTTAACTTCAATTCTACATTCCTGCATATACCCCGATAATTTTTCATCCCATTGGTCATCAATGATTTGTGAACAATCAAGAATATCTTCACTTTTATCTGCTTTTGTGTTCAGTATGCACTACACAACAGGAAAGCCCTGTCATTATAAGACCGCACATAGAGTAAACAACACCAGAAATTGTCTAAGTAAGAACTGAAAGAACTGCAGATGCTGGAAATCAGAAACAAAAATAGAAATTGCTAGAAAACCTCAGCAGATCTGGCAGCATCTGTGGAGAGATTTCGGGTCTAATGACCCTTCTTCAGAACCAGAAATTGTCTATTTGGAAAATAAAGCTTTTCCCTCCTTTCAATGGTAATTTGTTTGGACAGTAGTATGGCCATAGCATTATCCTTCTCCATTTTAAGCACAATTTAGATTTCCACTTGTGAAAGGTGAAGTTGCCTATTTCCACTAGACCAAAGGGCTGCTCTGTCATTACAGTTCAGGCAAGGGGAAAGTCCTTCATGGTAACTTCAGCTGGTGTGGGGATTGAAACCATGCTATTGGCATCACCAACCAGCCATCTAGCTAGCTGTGCTAACCGATCTCTATAATAACATTGTGGTATATGTTTAGAAACACAGGGTGATGGTGTACTTTTGAAAGGATTGAAATACGCCTTCATTGTTGAAAACTAAATATTGAGGCATGTACCATGGAGATAGTCTCTCTCCAAATAATCTGAAAATGCTTTACCCTTCATGTTACCCTGGGCCCTGAGTGAGGGATGCCTTCAAGCTCCATAATCTCCAATGTACTTTGTAATTTGTGGAAAAAGGGAAAGAGATTGCTGGAGAAACTCAGCAGGTCTGGCAGCATCCATGGAGAGAGAAACAGAGTTTTGAGTTTGGTATGACTTTTCAGCACAACTGGAAAACTCTTAATCTTTTACATTCATTGATGGGGTCTGGGCATTGCTGGCAAAGGCAGCATTTATTTTCTATTTCCTAATTGCCCACATCCCATAAGAGGATCATGTTTTAAAAATCCAAGCAATCAAAGGCTGGTGGCTCTAGTAGCATTGTATATGGAAAGAAAAATAAAGAGAATTTAGATGCAGCCTATCATGTCTTCCAAGCAACCCGAACCACTTGACATCCAGTCAAGTTGCTTGTTGAAGCATAATTCCTATGGATCGGTAGGAAACACAGCTGAGAAATGTTGTGCACAGCAAGATTCCACAAACAGCAACATTATAATGACCAAATAATCAGTTTTACTTACTTTGGTGGCAGGATGGTGGAAAGGAATCCAACATTAACTGAGCGAGGGTGGAAATAAGATGATTTTAGTTAAATCCACAAATGCCTTCCATTTTGTTCCAGTCCTATCCCTGACTCTGCCCTGGCCCCAGGCTGAATTAGACTGCTTGTAACTTTGATTTGTGTGACCCTGAACTAAGCATCTGACTCCAATTCTCACCATCAGCTGGATTGCCTACTTGTACCTCTGTAACAGTTTTGACTCCTGTCCCTATCTTAGCTGCTGAAATTCTCATCAGTCCCTTTGCCACCTCCAACGTCCTCCATTGCCTCTTGCCAGCCCAATCTTCACTTTCCAGAGAGTCCAACTTACATAAAATTTCACTCAGTGCCCTGTATCCACATAAAGTCCCATCCGCTGATGTCTATTAGTTCCTTGGTCTGGAGTACCTTCAATGTAAATTCTTCATCTAGTTTCAGTTGCTTTATAGCTACAGGTCACTCTATCTATCTGTTCACTCTTCTCCATCTCTATGTTCTTCACCCTCAAAACTTAATTCCCCTTCTGTGTTTCAATTTTGGCCTGATATGTCACGTCATTTTCACCCTTGAAGAGGAGAAGTTTTCTGCCATCTTGGTAAATATTATTGGATCGGCATCATAAAACCCTTGGGGCTGACTTTCTGAGGAGTAAAGGTCTTACACATGGCCACTTGCTCCATTTTTAACTAAAGGATGGAGCTCCGCATTTCTAACAGGAGATTCCAATCAGTGCTCCTTCAGCAATATGGAGTGAAATGTTCATACTGACTACTCCTTCAGAATGCAGAGCTGTCAGGAGAAAACAAATCATATCCCTTTTCACAGCAGTCAGTATTCTGAAATGTAAAGATCCAGAATTGCAGACTGCCAGGAATGGGAGAGGAGAAGCTGGGGGGCAGAAGGTAGCAGGTCCAGCGCAGAGCGGGGTGGGGCTGTTAGATCCCTGGGAGGGAGGGTGGTGCCAGATCAGAGTTTAGAGTGTAGGTGCTTTGGGAGAGGTGGGTATTGGGGGTGAGTCATATAAATATGGGATCAGTTCAATAGTTACCTGGGAGTTAGTAATCTTTATTAATCTAACTTTTCCTCAGTAACTATTTGCTTAATTTCAGCAGAACTCTGTGAATTCTCCAATTTAAGTTGATACTTTCAGAAGGTTTCAGGCATGGGGGAATTGTCCATTGGAATCTAAAATTCCTCGAGCAATTCCTTTAGAGTTTATTATGATGGGAACCCTGTGTGGGGTTTCGAATGCACAAATTCCATCTAAACTGGACTAAGGATGGTCTGACCATCGAAATATCCAGGCCAGGATCTCTCCAACTCTCTGTCTCTCTCTTTCCTCCTTTAAAAATCTCCTAAAAGTTCATCTGCTCATTGCTCCTTGGGTCAGCCCTCCCCAATTTGTTTTAACTGGTTCACAGTCTGTATTTCTTAGACTTATCTGTGCAGACCCGTGGAATGTTTTGCAGAGCGGAAATGTTACTATGGTTTTGAGAAGTAGATTGTGAGGAAAGATTACATAAATTAGATTTGCAGTTCCTGGAAAATAAAATCGAAGAGTGGTTGTTGGAGAATTTTGTTTCAGATTGGAGGGATTGATAGGATAGAGAGATTCCCATTGAGGATGGGGATAAGGAGGCTTACAGGTTGTCTAGGGCAAACCTCAAAATCAGATTCAGCCATCCTCAGCCATACCTTGGCCATACTTTCGAGACCTAAGGTGGGTGCTAGAAAAATGCAACTCTCTCTTACAACAGAACAGTAGATGCTGGACCAGTTAATCATTTTAAATCAGACATCAATGGATCTTTGCTCAACAATGCTAATAAAAGATACTACAGTGGGTAACTCGCCTTTTGACTCCCTATCTACAAGGCACAAGTCAGGAGTGTGATGGACTACTCCCCACTTGCCTGGATTGGGGCAGCTCCAACAACACTCAAGAAGCTCGACACCGTCCAGGTCAAAGCAGCCCGCTTGATTGACACTACATCCACAAATATCCAATCCCTCCACCACTGACACTCAGTAGCAGCAGTGTGTACTATCTACAGGATGCACAGCAGAAATTCACTGAAGATCCTTAAACAACACCTTCCAAACTCACGGTCACTTCTATGTGGAAGGACAATGGCAGAAGATATGTGGCAACATGCAAGTTCCACCCCAAGCCACTCACCCATCCTGACTTGGAAACATATAATCGTTCCTTTAGTGTTGCTGGGTCAAAATCCTGGAATTCCCTCCCTAAGGGCAATGTGGGTCAACCTACATTGTGTGGATTACAGTGGTTCAAGAAGGCAGCTCTACACCACCTTCTTAATGGGCAACTAGGGATGATGCTGGCAAGCCAGCAATGCCCATGTCCTATGAGACAATAAAACAATATGGAACAAGCTTTTCTGATGAAGGGTCTAGGCCCGAAACGTCAGCCTCTCTGCTCCTATGATGCTGCTTGGCCTGCTGTGTTCATCCAGCCCTGCACGTTGTTGCCATGGAACAATACTAGATGTTTGGATCTAAATGATTTGTATCTCATTAAGTGGCAGGACAGGCTTCAGTCCATGGTGAGGGAGCTGAACATCTTATTCCTGTTCCTATGTTTGAGCAGGTATATAAATGATGGATGCTGTTTTGCTATTTCTTCTTCCAGTATGAGAGGAAAGTTATTATTCCTGTGCAATGCCCACATTCAGCTGCATAGTTACAGGCTTCTGGAAAGGTCATTGAGTTATCAGTTTAATTTTTTTTTTGCTGGAGGAAGGGGTTGGTTGGTTTTAACTGGTTTAGATTGGCATCTGTGAATTCAGATCAAATAAGGCAAGGGATTTTCTTCATCCGAGCTTGCCTGTGATCTGGTGGAATTTGTGCATTAGATTCATTGCAAATGGAAACGATCACTGGGCAGATATGGACTGAAGGCCCTTCAACAAATTTATCTCATAATTCCAGGCTCCCATTCATGTCTCTCTGTCACCAGCTTCTAACACTTTCCCCAGCAGCTGCTCTCAGCTTTTCCAACCGTGAAATAAACAACACTGATTCCATTCCTGCACTTTTTTTATTTAAAAAAGTGAAATTGTGTGCATGTTTTTTTTTGGGGGGAGAAGGTTTGATCAAAACAACCAAATTTTAGGATCAAATACAACAAATCAGAATGACTTAAAAGGACCAAAACCTGCAATCAGCTAGCTACTTCCATTGACTTGCTGCTGTTTCCATGGTGATAACCAGACACCTTTTCCTGCCTGATCCTCATCTTTTAAACTACAATCAGTCAAAAAACCAGAGAAAACACATCCTTTGATGCACAAATGTATAAATCAGTAGTAGAAGGAGGCCATTCAGGCCCTCAAGCCTTCTCCACTGTGCAATAAATGGTGGCTGATCTGATTGTAACTTCAAACCCATGTTCCCCACCTCCTCCATGATGACCTTTCACCCCATAGTTAACAAGAATCTTCCTACTTCTGTCTTAAAAGTGTTCAAGGACTCTGCTCCCACTGCCTTTTGAGGAAGAGAGTCACAGTGTCACACTGTATGGAAACAGGCCCTTCAATCCAACTTGTCCATGCTAACCAGGTTTCCTAAACTAAACTAGTCCCATTTGCCTGCACTTGGTCCATATCCGTTTAATGTTTTCCTATCCATGTACCTGTCCAAATATCTTTTAAATGTTGTAATTGTACTCACCTCTACCACTTCCTCTGGCAGTTCAATAGAATATATGAACCACCCTCTGTGTGAAAAAGTTACTCTTTAGGTCCCTTTTAAATCTTTCCCCTCTCACCTTAAACCTATGCCTCCCTAGTTTTTGACTCCCATACCCTTGGGAAAAGAGCTTGCCAATTTACCCTATCCATGCCCCACATGATTTTGTAAACCTCCATAAGGCTACACCTCCAATGCTCCAGGGAAAATAGCCCTAGCTTGTCCAGTCTCTCCTTATAACTCAAATCTTCTAGTCTCAGTAACAACCTTGTAAATCGTTCTTGCACCCTTTCCAGTTTACTAACATCCTTCCTACAGCAGGGTGACCAGAATTCCAAAGACTCATAGAAACATAGAATATACGAACAGGAGTAGGTCATTTGGCACTTCAAGCCTGCTCCACCATTCAATATGATCATGGCTGGCCATCCAACTCAGTTCCCTGTTCCTGCTTTCTCCAAATATCATTTGATCCCATTAGCCCTAATATCTATAACTTGGAAGGCTACAATGTTTTGACCCCAGTTTCCTGTGGTAGTGATTCCCACAGGCTCACCGCTCTCTGGGTGAAGAAATTTCTCCTCATCTCAGTCTGAAATGGACTATTCCATATCCTTAGACTGTGACCGCTCCCCCCCCCCTCCCCATTCATTAAGAACATTCCTCGTGCTTCTAATCCTCATAGAAACTTATAGGTCTCACTCTATATGTGACTCCGTGAGAGGAATAAAATTCACTTAATCTTGGCTTTAAATGGGCAACCCTTGATTTTTAGACAGTGACTCCTTGTTCTAGATTGCCTCAGAAGAAGAATTATCCCCTCCACGTTCAGCTTGTCAAGACCTGCTCAAGATTTTATGTTTCTCTCAGGATATAGCGAGGGGAAGGTGATTTGTGCTCATTTAGGCAATGCTTTCACTCTGCCATGTCATACTGATCCAACAGTGTTGCTTTTTTTATTTGTTGTAACTAGGCTGAGTTTTGACGAAGGTCAGTCCTGGAGTAAATACAGTTTTACCTCAGTTCCTCTCTTTGTAGACGGAGTTCTGGGTGAACCAGGCGACGAGACACTGGTAATGACGTGAGTAGAGAACATTTTATTTCCCTGTTGCAGCCTGAAGTGAAAGAAATACTTGTCTTTGTAAAAATGCACTGTATTCATAAAGTTTATAAAATTATATTATATCATCCAACTTTGACACAATGGTAAATTGGGATGTTTCACTCTATTTACAAGTGCAGGTTATATTTACAATATACATTTACATTTCACATCAAACACTCTCTGGTGTGTAAGAGCTGGGGAATTTTATGTGGTTTCAAGCCCCTCTCTGTACTATGACAGAGAGACTTTAAAAAAAATCACCTTTCCTCTTTAACCCTTTGCAATGGCTAATCTGAGCTTTAGTATCTCTCAGTACATGGTGCTTGATTTTGGACATGCTGGTCTACAATACTCACTTGTGGGCAGTTCCTTGCACTGGAAGACCAACAGATTTCAGGGCTATATCATTAGTGTTGAGCTAAAGGTAAGAATTTGTCTTAATATTCTTGACCTTAGGAAACACCAATACATTTCACAGCCAAAATGTTGCTTTTGACATGTAGTTCCTGGTGTCATATAAGGGAACATGGCAGCCAAAGAAGGTGCACAGCAAAATCCTAGGTAACATCAATGATTATCCAATCTGTGTTTCTGGTGGTGTTAGTAGAAGGATAATTGTTAGGAATTGCATCCCTGATGTTCTTCAAATAGAGCCAGGGTGTTTTTATTCACCTGAGGGGCCACATAGGCCAATGATTTAACATTGCATCCAAAGGTTGGTATTTCTGACAATGTGGCGCTCCCTCAGTTTGTATCGAAGTTTCAAGTCATGTCCCTGGAATGCAGTTTGAACCCAATACTTAACCCAGAGGTGAGAAGCACTAGGCATGCACAAGAATTGGGCTGCTCCAAGGAAACATTAACCCTTTGGAGAAGTGAGTGAAGTGGTCAGGCATTATGAAACAAAAATAAAAAGTGCTGGAGAAACTCAGCAGAACCTCAGGCAACATCTGTGGAAGAAGAAACAGAATAACATTTCGAGTCCAGTAACCCTTCTTCAGAATGGGCGATCACTGCACTCAAAACATTAACTCTGTTTCTCTCTCCACAGATGCTGCCAGACCTGCTGAGTTTCTTCAGCACTTTCTGTTTTTGTTTCAGATTTCCAGCAGCTGTGGGGTTTTTTTTGTTTTGTTTTGATGGAGCATTGTATTGTTCTGGTTTCATCCTGAGGTTATAATTCTTTTTGAAGTTGAATGCAATTCCATACATTTGTCATAGCACCTCCACTCAACACACCCCTCCCCTGATATCCTGCCCTTGGAAGCATCTCTCCCCCACGTATCTGCTAATTATGGGGAGGCAATGGCCTAGTGGTGTTATCACTGGTCTGTTAATGCAGAGACCCAGATAACGTTCTGGGGACCCAGGTTCAAATCCCACCAGGGCAAATGGTGGAATTTGAATTCAATAAAATGTCTGGAATTAAGAATCTAATGATGACCATAAATCCATTGTTGATTGTCAGGAAAAACCCATCTGGTTTCACTCATGGACCTTAGGGAAGGAAACTGCCATCCTTACCTGGTCTGGCCTACATGTGACTCCAGACCCACAGCAATGTGGTTGACTCTAAACTGCCTTCTGAGCAATTGGGGATGGGCAATAAATGCCGTCTTGTCAGTGACGCCCTCATCCCGTGAATGAATTTTAAAAAATATTAACTAAAGCCCACAAATGGAAAGAATCCATCTATGCTACAGCTCACTTATCCACTTGACAATGACCTGTTCAATCCACCAACTGCTTGTCTACAGTGCCAGCACTCTGTATGGAGCTACCTTCTTCAGCAAGGTTTACCAACATCTGTTGGACCAAGAAATGGAAACACTGAAGGTCACTGCTCTATAGAGCAATTGGTACAGGTATTCCCAGAATGGGGGGTTAGGATCGTGAGTGGCGGTATGATCAGAAATATTGAAGTCACAACCTCTGAGGTAGCAATGCCAGCGATGGAGCTCTGACTGAGTTATAACATCTGTACAACTGTTCTTCCATGCTCTCAGTTCTTACTGAGTCATTCTAACAAATTTCAAGCTGCAGAATGGGGTCACAGAGGGGAAAGGTTTGGAAAGCTCTGAGCTGATACCTAAAAGGGTTAATCGTCATCACGGGATAAGGTTGAATTCTCAGGATATAAAGGGAGGAGCTAACCAGTTGCAGGTGCTAAGTTCCATGCAGCTAAACAGTAATGTTACTTTTAAGTCTAACCTCTGAAGTCTTACAAGAAATTATGGAGTCATTTCAATGTATTGTAATTAAGTACTATTTAATAAGCCTAACCTGAGGGAGTCTGATTGTGCAGTGGTAGTGTCCCTACCTCTGAGCCAGGAGACTTAGGTTTAAGTTCCACTTGTTCCAGTATGTAATTACACGTGTCTATACGTCAATTCGAAAACAAAGAAGCCAGTTCTATTCAACAAGAATGAGCTGTTCTTCTTCCAAAGATCTCTACTGGGGCATCCGTTCTCCACCTTGTAAAAACATCTTAGAGTCATACCAATCAGAAGCATTAGTAACAGTGAATCTACATGAAACATCTCAGGCAGCACTGATAGACGTGATTACACCAGTCAGTAACAAGTTTCTTGTAACAGGTTCTTTCTGTTGAATGCTGAGTTTTGAATGACCATAGTGATAGTAATCATTGTTAAAGAAAGGCTCAGGCCCCCTGTTTGGCTGATCTCTGTACAAAGCCCTCATGAGCATATGAAAAGACACAAACCAAGCTCCACATTACTGAGGGGTGTCACTTCTACTGACTAAATGAGGTGCTCATCACATTAAAGTCGACAAACAAGGCTATAGCTTGACTTCAAGATTTGCATTTGCTATATAAGTAGATCACAGAGCATCAGATGGATTCTGTCCAGCTATGGGATTTAAGGTTTAAGGGCTTTTGTCCCCAGAACACCCTGCTAAGGAAACATTATGGTTATTTTCTGTTGGCATCTATGAGCATTTCATATCGAGTCATAAAGGTCTATGGCGCAGATGACCCTTTGGCCCATTTAGTTTACACTGGAATATAATACTAGGATATAATGTGGTGCATGGAGCATGTGGAACACAGAAGGTATATAGAGACTTGAAGACAGTAAGGACTGCAGGTGCTGGAATTCAGAGTCAATAGATGTGAGGCTGGAAAAGCGCAGCAGGTCAGACAGCATCCGAGGAGCAGGAAAGTCAATGTTTCAGGTCGAAACCCTTCGTCAGGACTGGGGAGGAGGAGGGGAGCCCAGAAATAAATACAGGGTGGGGGTAGGGCTAGGGGAGGGTAGGTGGAATGGTGATAGGTGGATGCAAGTAAGGGGGTTATTGTGGTTGGTCAGTGGGACGGGTGGAGGGATAGATGAGTAGGATGGTGGACAGGTTAGGTCAGGTCAGGAGACGGAGGGCTAGACACGGGATAAGGCTGGGGGTTTGAGGGATTTTGAAACTGCTGAAGTCAACGTTGAGGCCATTGGGCTGTAAGCTCCCAAGGCGAAATATCAGGTGTTATTCCTCCAGTTTACATTTGGCCTCACCCTGACAGTGGAGGAAACCAAGGATGGACATGTCGTCAGGGATGTGGGAGGGGGAATTAAAATGGATGGCAACCGGAAGGTTGGTATGGTTGATGTGTGCAGAGCGCAGATGCTCCATGAACTGGTGCCTGAGTCTGCATTTGGTCTCCCTGATGTAGAGGAGACCACATTGGGAGCAATGGATGCAATAAATCAGGTTGGATGAAGTACAGGTGAATCTCTGCCGGATCTGGAAGGGTTTTTTGGGGCCCTGGACGGAGGTGAGAGGGGAGCTGTAGGAGCACGTGTTGCACTTCTTGCGTTTGCAGGGAAAGGTACAGAATTTGTTGGGGAAATTGGTGGTGAGTGTAGAACTGATGAGGGAGTCATGGAATGAATAGTCCTTGCAGAAAGTGGACAGGGGTGGGGAAGGAAATATCTTTTTGGTGGTGGGATCAGATTGTAGATGCGGAAATGTTGGAGGATGATGCATTGGATTTGGAAGTTTGTGGGGTGGCACGTGAGGTCTAAGGGGACTTTGTCCTTATTGTTGTTGGGGGAAGGGGGTTTGAGGACGGAGGTGCAGGAAATGGAGGAGATGCGGTTAACGGCATCCTTAATTACAGAGTGATGGGAGTTATGGCCCCTAAAGTTGGAGGATATCTGGGATGTCCTGGAGTAGAATGCCTCATCTTGGGACCAGATGTGGCAGAGGCAGAGGAATTGAGAGTATGGGATAGCGTTTTTACAGGAGGGTGGGTGAGAGGAGGTGTAGTCAAGGCATTGTGGGAGTCAGTGGATTTGGTGGTGAGTTGGTTTCCAAAGATGGAGATGGAGAGGTCCATGAAGGGGAGAGAGGTGTCAGAAATGGCCCAAGTGAATTTGAGGGCACAGTGGAAGGTGTTCGTGAAGTTGATTAACCGTTCGAGATTCTCGGGGTATTGAGATCCTCGAGCACGAGGCAGCACCGATGCGATCACCAATATAGCAGAGAAAAAGCTGAGGGATGGTGCCGGTGTAGATATTGAAGAGGGACTGTTCCACAGGCATAGCTCAGGCCAATGCAGGTACCCGTGACCACCCCTTTGGTTTGTAGGAAGTGGGAGGAATTGAGGTAGAAATTGTTGAGAATGAGGACCAGTTCAGCCAAGCGAGTGAGAGTGTCAATGGAGGGGGACTGGTTGGGCCTACGGGAGAGGAAGAAGCGGAGGGCTTTTAGGCCATGGTGAAGATGAGGTGTTGGAGGCCAGGTAATTGAAAGGTTTCGAAAAACTGGAAGGTATGGGTTGTGTCACGGATGTAGGTAGGGATTTCCTGGACCAAAAGGGAAAGAATGGAGTTGAGATAGGAGGAGATGAGCTCAGTGGGGCAGGAGCAGGCAGAAACAATGGGCCGACTGGGGTGGTGCGGGTTTATGGGTTTTGGGTAGGAGATAGAAACAGGCAGTGCAGGGTTGGGAAACTATCAGGT